ATAGAATCAGAAAAAATAACGGATCAAAATATACCGAATGTCAATAACGGTAAAAGAAAAAGGGGTGATTCATTAATATCAACATCAAAACGACAAAAACAGCCACAACAGGACAATAATACAAATGATAATACTGACAGTTCAGATGCAAGGAATACTGAACCTGAAGAAGATTATAATTCAGAAGAATAATGAATTTTATGTTATTCTGTTGATTTTTCTTTCACGTTTTCAATAAAGAGGCTGTATGATTTATGTACTATTATTGGCGCCAAAATAAAAGGCGTGTGCTCGTTTCTTGAATAACTCCGTCACCTTGATAGATAGTGGCCTGCACTTTTCAGTTTTGAAAACTAGACACCTAATCACACATTTCTGTAAGCAAAAGTGAATTTCGGAAAATTTTATGAAGCGGATTTTTCAGAGGATCTTTCGAAAACTAGCGTGGATTTTTCGAAATTCACATAGGGATGTATTCATTTTTTTTCATGGCTGATAGCTCGGAATGTTCTCTTCAAAATAGGAGTAAAGTAAGACCTTGATTTTCTGCGGTTCGGGCGTTGTATCGAATTTTCGACGAGTCCCAGGACTGGCACCCGGTGACTATTGGTAGCCTTAAAGACGGACGGACTATAGATAATCAACCATGCGGAGTCTCGTGGCAATATTTGTTTTTAGAAAGAGTTTTAAAACTCTCCGGAAAAGTAGGTGGGTTTTCAGGCTGTTTCAACCTAATAATAAAAAAGTCACTAAAACTGCGTTAAATTTTAATTTCTCAATATCAATCAAATATTCGTTCTTTGTTTGTCATCCACTGGAAAGCACGTGGAATAATCAACACAAAGAAGCACGTGCTTTTCCCATCTCTATTAATGTCTTTCTTTGTTTTTCCTATATATTACCGTATGAAATAGAATAGTCTGTGTTTTAAAAATATTGAGAAATGTTGTTCAGTGTGAATGCTTGTATCTAAGAAAAACACGAAGAGCATCTTCAGATACTTAGACTATAAAGGGAAGAAAATAAGCGCGAATCTATTTTCTGTTTGTTGGGTTGCATCTCATTTATGAAGCGTAAGTTGTGTCCGGGTTTTAGCTCTCCATATCATACTTTACAGCAAGTCTCACAATGGATTTATTTTTAGCCACGTCATCAGAAAGAAACAGCGGAAAGACAATCTCTAATTTGATTAGGGATCGTTTAAGATCGTATTCTCAATCAGGAACCGTTGAACATGTAACTCCATTATTCACTCTTCCTGGGTATATGCCTTGCTTTTTCTCTTAAATATTTTCTAAGACGAACCGTCGTTCTTGCCTTTTAGACCGGTTCAACCACATACATCAACAGTAAATGCAAAGTCAACATGTAAATTTCCTTGTGTTATTTTTCGAGCATTAAGTAGTTAGATTTCTCTTAAAAATATAGAGATAATAACAGCAGCTATTTTTAATTTCATTATTCAGTTTTTATTAAAATTCGACGTTTGTAAAATACAATTTTCATTTTCAAGAAAACAATAGATAAACAGACTATACTGTAAGATTAGAGTCAAAAATGTTGACTCTAATGTTACAGTATAGTCTGCTTATCTATTGTTTTGAACTTATCAAGTCTAACAGCAACTCAAATTCAATCAACTACCGCCGAGCAAACAAGAATAATAAACATACAAATTCAGAAAAATGGAAGAGTCAATTATCTGTTTTCTCCTCTCTGTCCAAAAACATTGGTTCGTTCATCTGTATTGAAGCTTGCATCAACATCAACTCCGCTTCGAACAATCTCTCTAAATAACGCATCCTCATCTACATCGAAGCGTGATTTGATACCACCATTAGTCGAATCCGAATGTCTTGTAAGTATTGTCCGTATTTACTTCTTGTAAATTACTTATCGGTCAGGCAGGTTTGTCTGATTTCAGCACAATATAACAGCAATTATTCCACCTGAAGAATCTTTTATTGAACAGAGTCTTTCGGCATTTGGTACCAGTGATGTATACCAAAATCCCATCACTTTTCCAGATTATAATATCACAAATGATGAAATCAGTAAGCCAGACGGAGATACCTTGAAAACAAGATGGGTTTCTCAAGTAATGAAATATATTTTAATTCACGAAAAATTCATTTAGGTTATTCACCTCACAATTTTGAAGATGGTGCGATGCGTGCGATTAAGCAAGCATTAATAGATAGTGATAACCATGTTATGTCAACATCGGAAGAGGAAATTAAAGGTAGATATTCTAAAAGCTTTTAATGCATAATAACCTATTGTTTTCTTTTATAGATTACATTTTAAAACGTAAATCAAAACGAGTGAGTTTTTTCTGTAAATACTGATGAAAACTTTTTGTACAAACCTTCTGGATGTAGATCGGACTATTACTATTGATAAAAATTCTTGAATTTGTTTTCTTTAGCAATTCTGGCTCACTCAAACAATGTCAGACGAATTTAGTATTGTTCCTCGCATTGATAATCTTTATTTACTAGACCATCTCGAAAAATATCAAAAATTAGTGATCGAATTCACATTAAAGAACAGCAGAAGTGACACGGCTGAAGTACGCACAGAAGTAAGTGTGAATACAAACTTTATTAACTTGTTTAACTGGATCAGTCTCAGTTTTATAGGTATTCTTGACGATTTATTGAATGCAACTACTTATGGTATATCCGAACAGAGAAAAATTAATAAACGATTAAAAATATCAACATATCCTGCTCTGGACATATTTCAATATGAAGAATTGTTACAAATGGATAGAGATACAACAATGGAACCAAGCAAATCAAGAATACGTCTGTGAATTAATTATTTTATCAGTAGTAGAACGACTCTTTTCTGTATTAGAATTAGACAAATCAGCATTCAAGAAGCGACCAGTGGATTCAAATGAAGATCAAAATTTTATTACCGGTTAGTGAAGTTTTGATTTTTGGCGTATGCGCTTGATTACCTTTTTCATGATTTATCTGCAGAAGTTTAATGGTTATAAATGCTAACTTTGAAACATACACGCCCGTTTTTTAATTTGACTTAACAACGATCCTTTAACACAACAAAAAGAAAGGTAATTATAGCTGTTCTGTGTGAAACAATGTAAGTTTATTCGTCTTAAGCGAGAAAGACTCACAATAAGGGAAAGAGTTCATGTGAATTACTTAACTTTAGCTTAAAAATTAGACGTGTCTCAATTCTTATATTTTGAGACTTAATTTCAAAATAAAGACTTTTTTTCTCATGTTATTTGAGTGTAAAATAGTGAGCTCTTTTTATTTAGAAGTATATATTTTTGATTTATTTTTTTGATAGAAATTTTTTTCCAAAGACATTGCGCTCTCCTCCTAAATTTAAACAGCTTTATCAGTTGTTTTTGCTTAGTAATTCAAGAAACGATTTTGGAGCACTATAAAAAACGGGTCAATGTGGAGAACACCAGTTTTTTCTACGACGGCGGTGGATGCTTCTAGTAGGAAATTATCTTCTAAAGATAATTTTGGGCTTTTCTTTTAACGTTTTATAATTTATTTTCTCTGTGTTAGTTGAAAATACTTGAGTATCTTCTTTGCTAAAGTGCAGATATCGTAATAGTTATTCTGTTGTTTTCCATTGTTTGTGTTAGCAAATAGCATAATGACTGAATCAGTGATTAGTTATGATGGTTGTGCAACATTGAATTCTCGGGCAATTGTCAATTTAATTTAATGAATAGTATTACAGTAAGCGGCTATCATTCTTATTCAGGTAAAGAATCATCAAACTGTTTTGAAACTACCAAATGACAAACAGTCATTTTCATCCAGGTACGGTTTGTCTTTTCTAAACTGAAAGTGGCAACGTTTCTACTCTACTAAATTCTAGATCAAACAAAAAATACATTAGAGATGTCGTCAACAACTAGAGTGCTGCCACCCCGTTCAAATACTAAACGTAAGTAACTTATCGTGTGATTGTTAATAGAGAAAGTCTTTTATTTTAAATGTTTTTATTTCAGAATTAAACGGAATTCAGAAAGTGGGCAACAGCTGTTTTTTTAATGTGGTTATACAATTATTAGCTGCTACTACCAATTCATGTTTATCACATTTCAACAGACGCTGCCATTTGGAAGGTGAGTGAACGTTATTTCTTCTTGATTTTTACTGTTAGCTTCCTTATTCAGTTTTAGCTCATCCTGTCCTGAATTAAACAGACTTTTTCTTTATTAAAACATGGTGCAAGCAAAGCTACACTGGTCGACTTTCTTGTCGTATTTCGTGCAAGATTCTTGTCTCTTGGCATTTTAGACAAGAAACTTGTTTAATAGTTCACTTATATTTTTATTTCAATGTTCTTGGGTGAAATTTCTGTCTTGTGACTTCAGCCAAGAATTTGAACTTTGACATAATATTAAGCATAAACATCAATTATATTTTCCCACAAATCATCTGCCTTGATCGTTATTTTTTTTTGACTCTCCACTTGACTGTCTTTCAGCCAAATCCCAAATTTGGTCTACTAGTTGTTGACAGCTGTTTTCCGGACCCAGTTTGACGATGACTGAAGATTGTGTGTTACCTTGAGGATCCTCGATACTGACCATCACGCTATACCGATCC